TTGCAATCTATTACAAAATGCCAGAAAAATGACATTTTGCTATCACCACTGGCAGAAGTTGAGATACACTTCCTTATTTAGTTGAGTTTGTTTTATGGCTTTGGTCAGACATTTCATCCCACATGTTTTTTCCACGGTGAATTTTGTTCCACTCCTCCTGACAGAACTATAGCTAAGTTATATCTGTATGCCTTTTTGCTTCAATGAAAGAGTAATTTCTGTTCAAGCTTTAACTTGATGGTTTTAGATGTTGTTTCCATATTTCCACATAGTCTGCTTTTTTATGATGCCTTCTATATCGTAAAATGCTGAAGTTCCTCACATGCAACATAATGCAGCCACCCCCATACATTACAGCTGGGACGGTCTTCTGATGCTTGCAAACTATTTCCTTTCCCCTCTAAATGTAGTGATGGTCACTGTGGTCAAGGACTTCTATTGGGGTGCGTTCGCTAGCTTCTTCTGTTAGTTTTCGAGTAATTGCTTCTGGATTGTTGAGTAGCCTTTCAGCCCATGTTGGTAACTCATTTCAGTATGGATGAATGTTTGTTGCAACTCTAGACCATTGGAAATTATACCAAAGGATGAATCCGAAATTTGGAGGTTCACAATTCTCTCATTTAGGTTCATTTCTTTTAATTTTCCCCTGAGGTCCCATAAAGAAACCGAGTTATTTATGTGCGCCGTAGAAAAATATTCACCGATGTTCTTCCATATGCCTCAAATTTTCCTCAAATGAACCCACCTGAAGTCTTCAGGCTGAAGTCTGTAAAATGGATAATATCATCGTCTGGGCTTCCTCGAGTTGTTTAAAGGAATAGTAAACTTTGCGTATGTGAAGTTGTGATTTTAAAGAAAGTGAAGTTGCTTGCTTATAATTCTAGCATTCAGGAAACGGAAATGTATTCAGTAGTCCTACCTGATCAAAAGTAGAAAAAAAAATGTTTTAGCAGCTTACTCTGAATTTATGTCAATGTCTTAAACACAACTCAAAACTTGTACTAGTTGTCTTTTATAACTTTGCAGTCTCCTGGATCAGATGTCCCGTGTTAAACTGAAGTGAACTCGCACACCAGGCAAATATGCTGGGTCATAAGTCATGCTTATGCAAAAATGATCTATACCATCCTACGCAGACTTTAAATTGACCATTAAGCTTTATTTTTGTTGAATTAAATAGATCTATTCCAGACGAAAGCCATAGGAGAATGTCCTCAGACAGATAAATTCATGCAGATAAATTCTTGCATACTCACAGGGCCCTGCTAATCATAAATGGAGTAGATTTGACATTATTATCCGCTGGCTGTTTATATCAAATAAAATTCTTCCATGAGTGGAAGAGTGAGAACGTATTTTCTCTTAAGCTACTTTTAGAGCTTTGCCTTTGAAATGTCAGGTTGTAACCTGACCCTGAAAGTCCACAAACATTTCGGAATCATGGTAATCTTTCCTCTGCTTGTGAGCAAGTAAAGTCTGACTGGAGATTTTTTATTTATTTTTTTTTAGATGCATTTCTGAAGAATATAATTATGAAAATAACAATAAATGTTAATGTGTAGCGTTATCTGAACGATTATATTTTCTTTTAGGTTAACTCCTCATTGGCTCCATCAATCAGGCGAAGAAGCTTGGTGAGTTGTTTCTTGGATTTTTTTCTTTTTTCTTACTCTTTGGGGGATTTTATTTGAAATTAAATGCGTCTTTGTATGAAGTGAGAACGTTTATTATGATCTTATTCTGAAAACAACCCCACAAAGATAAAAACAGAGGATTCACTGTGGGATCAGCTGAAAACACTATTTGGCATTGACCAAGATGATTTGATGCAGCCGAAGCTTATCTCCGTGACTCTTCTTTAGAGGATACACTGTTTTACACTGAGCTTCATTTTTATGGCCGAATACTGGCGGGCGGCAGCGATCTAATCTATAATCTCACAATCAGAGAGTGGTGAAGCAGTTTTTTGGATGCTCAGTCACAAATTCCAGTTGTTTGACACAACAGATGGGCATCGGCCTTTATCAGACATGGTGTGATTCAGGGCAGCAGGAGTTTGTTCAGAGCTCGGCTTTTAGACAGTGTCACATTCTGTTCGAACTAGATTTAGAGAGTAGGACGGACAAGGAGAGCACATGCATCCCAATACTTTAGAGGTTCCTTGGTGCTTCAATGGTCAGGTAGGACAAGGTTTAATCTGGCGCCTATTATGTGAGATTTCTTGCGCAAGAGATACTTTTCAGCAGCATTTGTGCATGTCTCTTACCATCTGAAGCCTGATAAAACTAAAGGCTGATAGCATTTTGTTGTGAGACGGGATGAAAGCAGACAAATGAACTAAAAAAAAAACCAAACAAACACCTTAAATAGGGTGAGTTGTAGGGGGCGGCGGGTAGAGAGAGTGTGGTGATTGTAGGCTAGCACTCTAATGTGCACTCTTACGGCATGCTGAAGTTGAAAGTAGAATCGTTTAAGGATTACCATGCAATGCATTTTGTGCGTTTTGTGCTGCCGCTGATGCTTTCAACGTTGCCACGGCCATCTGCACGGATCAGATCCAAGCATGTGTCATATCCTGTCATATGATGTCTGCTGTGTGCTTTGCCAGTCCTCTGACATGATTTCTCTGGGTAAAAGCTGATCGTTAGTATCGAAAGTATCAGTGTTTGAAACAATAGGATACATAAAACTGTGCTGTAATCAGAGCTCAGGCTAACAATAGCGTCTGGTTCTTGCGTATCTTGCCCAGCAACACGGTTTAGAAATTATAATGCAGCTTTGGAGTTAAAGTGACAGTCAGAAGTTTATATGGTCTCATCACGAATATAAATTCTATTTGGATTTTCAGCCATTAATAATGCATTTATTTTATTTTTGTTTTAACCAATGAATTTTTTCAAATCTTTTGCAATAAAATATATTTTACTATCTTTAATAAGATTATAGTGACAGTGTGATGTATTCCTGACAGATAAATTTTTATTAAGTCTTTTATTAGCCTCTTCCAAACATATCAGAAATAATTAAACATAAAAGAGGCAGAAAATCTTCCAACTTGTTTAACAGTGTATAAACAGACACCCACACTAATGTTTGGTTAAACGACCCTCACCAAGTCGTACATTCATTTTTGTAGCCGTCCAAAACCATTTGGCATAGTTCTGGCTGAAACTCTTTTTATCATAATTGCTGGTTTCCTGGTTTTGGCTCTGTGATTAGCCATACGTCATAATTCATATAATTCTTCTGGTTTTAAAGGGTTTGAAGGACGAAACTTTGCAGAAGCAAGTTTGTCCTGGGGCATGAATTACAACACCAGTTTTTATGTGCGTTTTTGGATCATTGTTCTGTTTCAAGATCCATTTGTTTTCCATTTTTCACCAGCTTCTTTTTCATTTGGGGTGAAGTTGAAGAATTTGGTAGACCTTCATTTTATTAATCCACCCGTTTCTGTGAAATGAACAGTGTACATTGCACAATTGGTGTAGGATTACTGTGATCAAAGCCTGGCCTTGCATCCTTTGAAACGTACTGAAGTGATTTTGCTTAAAAGCTGGATTCAAGCCACTAAGTATTCAGCCAGAATTATGTCAGAACTTTGTTGAAGTCTACAACAAAGCCTAAACCAAATAATAGAAGCGCTATATATTTGAGTAAAATTGTAAAAATGTTGACCCTGTTTTAATAATTTTAAGAAGATTCACAAATCTTCTTCACCTAATAATTGTCCTCCATTGATATGTTTATCTAAATCTTTTGATTTGGTCCTTCCCAGCCTAAGTCTCTTTTGCTTTTCATGGTCTGTTTGGTACATTGCATACTTATGTGTGATTTTATTAATTTTTTTTAAATATTACACCTTTTTCTTTGTTGCCGCTTTTCAAAAATGTTTTCAGATATGATGTGTAACACTTTGGACATTGGCCACTGTGTGTAACTTGATTATGTAAATTAAACTAACTTGCTCAGTTTCAATAATTCGAAACCAGTGAACCCAATTTTTGATTCTGAAATGACTCAAACAGTTTTGTGTATTATCAAGATAACCTAAAAGAAGAATGTGGATCTTTATGTGGAGTTTGACGTTGTTTGATGCCAGATATCTTGATTGTTTTTTTTATGCAAAATTTCTCATGACATTGCTAATTATGCTGCTTTATGCTATTTCATGGAAAAACAGGTCAGAGGGGGTAGAATATATTCCCTCTATATGACCCTGGATGTTACCCTTTTGATCATGTAGAACAGGATCTGGTATTTAAGTTTGAAATACAGACAGTTTTAATCTGACCAGGAATGCTTATCCATTTCCTGTAGTCAGATTATGAGCATCAGGCCTGCCCAAATGGCGTTGCAGCTGTGAACAGCAGCTTCCTTCATTAAAATAATGTCTCCGCGGTTCAACTGGTGGTCAAGATGGCTCCGGAACAAGCTGGAGTCCCTTTTAGGATAAAAATACCTGCTGTGATAAGTGCTTTGACTTATTCCATATTACTTTTAAATCCTATTCAGTGGCACTCTAAAAACACATGCACACAAACTAAAGATTTGTGTGCATGTGAACAGCATCACAGCATCACAGTCTCACATGCTGTTCATAGTGAAGGATATTTTTGCTCTTTGAAGGTCTTTCTTAATTTCCCACGTGTTAATTCATATTTTATCTTATGCATCAAATGTAAAATGTGATCCTTAGTGTAGCTTTTGGGTGTTTTAGTTCATCCATCTCCTATGAATTAATAGCCAGCAAAAGACCCTCTTGTAAAACTGCTGATTGTTCCATTAACACTATGGAGCTGGTGCTGATTAAACAAACAAGATGTTAATTATTGAGTCTTGGAGGTGCTAGGAGGGTTCTGTCACCTTTTGATAAGAAAGGTTGGTAGTTTCCGGCATTCATGTTACAATTTAGATGCTAATGTTCACCGAATGGCAGTGATCTTACTTCATGTGGCAATGTAAAAGGACGCCTTATTTGTTTCGCAAATTAAAATACAAGTAGCTATTTGCTTCCACCTCTTTATGCATTTTACAATTCAAAACGAATCCTCGTATTTCAGGGTAAATCTGGAGAGACGAGGCTGCACATTCACACTGAGGTGGACTTGAAGAAATAGTTGCCTCACCCTCCTCCTCCTCCTCCTCATGTACCACACTGATTATGTCACCTTTGTACTGACTAGTTCCTCATTATGATGCCTCTGTGAGGCTGCACAGTTCAGCTCAGAGTGTACATGCCGTGTTGTGAATTTGCCTGATTAGTGTTTGTAAGCTTCCGAACCATTAAGAAATTTTTATCTGGAAAAACAACCCGACAACAAACACATTAGAGCGAGATCCTTTTCGTTTATGAAAAGGTAAAAGCAGATATTCATATGCTTTTTACACACACTGTTGAATAGATAATAATGATTTCTGCTGATTTTATGAAAAGGTTTTCACCACCTCCTCACACTCATATCCTTTCATTGATGTTGCATAAGCATCCTCACGGTAAACGGCAGCTTTCTTCCGACATCTGCATCTTTTCACATAGACACCACGGACATGATGTGCCTCGCTGTTTATTGGAAGACCACTTCTATCCCTTCACCTTTCACACATTTTACTATGTCACAACCAGAAATTTCAATACACTTTATTGGAGTTTTACTTTGATAGATCAACACAAAATTATGCATAAATGTGAAGTGGAAAGAAAAAAAATAATTTAAAAATATTTTAAAAAGTGTGGTGTGCATTTCTGTTCAACCTTGTTAACTGTGATGACGTTGATTAAAGCCCAGGGCAACATTTGCCTTTAGAGCTCACCAAACTATAGTTCCCGTGTGTGTATTTCAATCATTTTATGGAGCGCTGCTGAGCACATCATCCTTAAATTTAACTAGTATGACACTACAACTGCAACTATATCAAGACATGGGCATTTATTTAAAAGAAAGCATGCAAGAAAGCTGTTGTAAAAATAAGACTATGGTGTCACATTTTTCACATTTTATTATGCTACAAGCAGAAATTTCAACTTATATTAATGGGATTTGACCTCCCCACCAACAACCCCTGCCTCTGCACACGGTTTGCCACAAATCATGTGAGATGCAAACTAAATATGTAGAAGAAGGTGTTATAATGTGATGAAACCAAAATTAAACTTTTTGCCCATACAAGCAAAACAGATTTAAGTATTGGAAATCCAGCAATCCAGATCTAGGTTGATTTGAACACACCTTCCCCACAGCGAAACAAGGTGGTGGCCTCATCGTGCTGCTTGGATACTTTTCTTCTGCAGAGCTACGGAAGCTTGTCAGAATTGAGAGGATGATGAATGTAGGCTTATTCAAATTTCAGACCTGCATTTAATTGAGAGTTTGTGGTACAAGATCTGCTGAAATTACTTCTCATTGACAAAAGTCGTTTGACAAAAATCAGATGATTTTGTTCTCAGCATTATGTCAACCACCCCTACAATCACTCTGATGAACATTTTGCACTACATGCAAAGCTATTGTGTGATTGGTCAGAATTTCGTGGGTGTTTGTTTATGCGGAAAACAGTCCCAACTACTCAGTTTCTAAAGCAGGTTTTTCAGCTGGAGAGAAGGATGGATAGCATTGAGGCTCAATTGTCCGAGGGTGGGACGAAGTACATAATATAGGACAAAAAAACTGAACTCTCCCTGGTCAGTTCTGGTCCGATGCACCAGGCAAATGTCCCACCCAATGTCTTCTGTTCTTTTTTTTTTTATTATTATTATTTTATTTTTAATTACATGGAAAATAAAATGAGATGTTGCAGCTCATCAGTCATTATTTTACTCGTCCTTTGAGGATTTTTCAAAAGCCAACCAAAGGTTAGCTCAAAGAGAAAGACTTTTATTAAATATGTCACGTAAAAAAGAAGATAAGGAGAACACAGACTTGTTCAAAATTTTTTTTTTTTAAATATGCTGAGATTAGACTATTTTAGCAGTACATATCACACCAAGTCAAGTTTCATCAACAGAATTAAACAGAAGTAAACTGTTGGTGGGTATTATATGGTTCTAATCTAAACAAGTGTTCTGTTTGGACCATTTCTTCTCAACATAAAGACATGCAATTAGTTTCCAAGGCAACTGTGCTATCCAAAGGGGGGATAATGTGTTTGTTCATAATGCCCTCAACTGTAAGGGAACACCATGTCAACAAAGATTTTATTTGATGCTGTTTTCACGGCTGCATTGTAGAAGTTGCATTTTTTTTCATTTGTCTATTCATGTTTAATTTGTACAAATGTGAGTTGAAAACTAGCTTTTTTTGTTGTCTTTTTGAAAATTGTTTTTGTGCCTTTTCCTCAGAGGAATGACGATGAGGCAGTGGTGGATCGGGGAGGAACGCGGTCCCAGCAGAGGGCCAACTTTGAGCAGGAGGATTTTGAAGGTAACAAAAAAGCAGAAAGCAGCAAGCTCCTGCAGCTGAGTCCACCCACTCTGTCCTAACAACTGCTGCTTTCCCTCTTGACAGCTTTTTTTTTTTTTTTTGCTGTTAAGAGAGGAGCAGAGTAGGAGGCAGAAGCTGTGGGTGAGCTCAGTTTGCATCAGTAATTTCATGATCGCTCAAAGAAAGACAAAGCGACTCTAAACAAAGTTACAAATGGTGGGACTGAGCAAATTAGGATGACTAGAAGCCGTGGCGAATGTTCTCTATCTGCAGAATAAGATAACAATAGAGGCCTCTGAAGCGTCAGCTCAGCTTGTTTCTGAATTATTGTTAATCGTTAATCTTTCTTTCCTTTTAACAATACAACCTTTAGATCATTTGTGCAGAGAGATAACAACACCAACCTCCTGCTAGGGTGCACCAGACTTCCAGGAACAGCTTAGAGAACATACATGTCCATTTTGAAAAAAACAAAACTTATTAAAGATTATGTCAGAGTTGCATCACTTCAGTAGATCACAGAGAAGCACTACAGCAGTTACGCCTGCATTAATCAGACATAGCTAAATGACAGGTAGAGAGAATGACGGTCATGACCTCTTCGTCATGGTACTGGTGGTTAGTGGATGAATTAGAAGCAGGAAAAATGGGGAAGCATAAAGATTAATTTGACACTGACCAGATTGATATGCCAAAATGACTTAGTCGGAGCATCTCCAAATCTTTTAGTCCTTATTGGGCATTTCCGGTCTGCTTTGCTTAGTATCATTCAAAACTGGTCCAGTAAAGGAACAGTGGTAACTTTACGACAGTGTCACGGTGGAACCTTTTCTCTGTGGTACGTTACAGCAGTAGGGCTACTGTAGCTCAGTTTGCTGAAGACCTTGCAACTTACTTGAAGGATGCGATGTTAACATTTTGGTACTACATACCACAGCACACATTCGGGGATCTGTTATGGTCAGTGACTCCTCTATGCTCCACTAAGGTTGTTTTGGTAGCAAAGAACGTCTCATGCAATAAATGGATGTGGTGCAAAAGTGCTTTGGGGACCTCTGGACTTGATAAAGCGCTATACAAGTACAGCACATTTGCCACTTTGCCATTTACATTATTAGGCTGGTGGTCATAATTATATGCATGACCTTTGTAGATCAACAACTTACCAATCTGTAATAGATTCCGACAACTGTTCAAAATGCATTACCATCACATTACATTGTTGTGTATAATGATATAAAAATATCAGTGGAGTGTATTTCTGTACGCATAAGCTTCATGTGACATAGTGGTGGATCAAACAAGAAAGACAAGAAGTTAAATGAGCTATCTGCATGATTTGCAGCCATTGTTTCATTGCCCCTGAACAGCCACACATGCCATGAGACAGTAATCTTTTTCATCAAAAACTTTGCTTATGTCAGCAAAGCAGAAACCCAGAATTCCTCTGTGGATACGGCAAACTGGTTTAAAAACAAATCAGCCAGCAGATCAGTCCCGATTAGGTAAAATACATCAAGGGAGGCCCTGAATTATTAAGCTTTTGCAAGCATAACAAGCATGGTTTTCCACTAAGTCCAGCTGTGCCAGTAATTATTGAAATGAGTCACATGCATCAATCAGAAATGCATCAGTTATTCCAAACTAAAATAGTTTATTCTTCCTGAATTAACCACTTTGGTATTTGTCTCCAGGTCACAGGACTCTCTACATTGGGGTCCATGTCCCTTTAGGCAGTACCAGGAATCGTAGCCATCACAGGCATCGTCACCACGGGAAAAAACATTGGAGGAGGAGCAGAGAGCGAACCCTTCCCTTGGTGGAGGGAAGAGAGTCTCCAAATTACGGTATAGGCCAAGAGAGCAGCCTTTCAAAAATATGTGTCTGCTGTCATTTGGATTTGTCTTATGGTTAATTGCAATCCCTGCCAGACACTCCCTCCCAGCGGGTTCAGTTCCTGCTGGGGGCAGAAGACGATGATGAGGAACACATCCCCCATGACCTCTTCACGGAGATGGATGAGATCTGTCTGAGAGATGGAGAGGACTCGGAGTGGAGGGAAAGTGCCAGGTGATGTTAGTGATCTTAATGTAGCAAAATTTAGAAATCCCCAGAGGTTGCGAGCATGAGCAGTCATGGTAGCGATCTGTGAGAAATGCAGATTGCAGATTATGTTTAATGTTTGTGTTTCAGCAACTTGTTTAGTATTTTCTCATGATTTCCCTATATTTTATCAGACACCTCTATAAAATGATGGTGTACTCTTGACATGGTAAATAAGACATATTTTATTTACATTGATACCCTGGTAAAAAGCAATAAGGGAGGAGAGTAAATGAGTGAAGCTGACAGGGAAAAGGAGAAATGAGAGCTACATGTGAAGGCCCCCAGAATGAACGAGTGTTGCTTTTGCGCCTAGAACAGATGGCCGACCAGTTTGCCGTCTGCTGGCAGCACTTGATGGCAACTCAAACTCTTCTTACAGGTGGCTGAAGTTTGAGGAGGATGTAGAGGACGGGGGAGAGCGATGGAGCAAACCCTACGTCGCCACGCTGTCTCTCCACAGTCTGTTTGAGCTGCGAAGCTGCATCATTAATGGCACTGTTCTGCTTGACATGAGGGCAAATAGCATTGAAGAGATTGCAGGTGATTAAGGCAATGTGATTTTGTTAGTTCTGGCTTTTGTTATTTTTTTAAATCTCTCTAGAAAGAAAATAAAGAAAAAATTAAAATTGATATTTTTAGGACGCTTACTTTTCGTGTGTAATCCTGGAACTTTGGGCATATCTTATTGTTTAATGTACTTTTTGTAATATTGGGAGAATTACTAATTAGGTGAATTATTCTTTTAACTCCAACTGCACTATAAATCTTCTTTTTTTTTTAAAGAAACCTAAAAAACATTGGTAATTAGCAACAACACACCCATATCTAACCTGTTGTTTTTGGGCAAAGTTTTAAATGGGATGCATTTTTATATTGATGCACCTTAATGCTGGCAATCCAGAGTCTTAACAAAGACGGTCACAACATACTGGTTTAACGACTGGAAAAGCTGCTTTGCCTTCAGCCCAGATGTCTCAGATAAAGGCATTTTGCTTTTGTTTTGCTCCTCAGAAATGGTCTTGGATCACCAAGAGTTATACTCACCACTGGGAGATGACCTCAGAAAGAAGGTGCGTGAAACTCTCTTGAAGCAACACCATCACCAGAACCAGAAGAAGCTGGCTAACCGCCTGCCGATTGTACGCTCCATCGCCGACATGGGCCGGCGGGCGTCAGAGCTCCATCTGGACAAGAATGGTGAGAAACCAGATAAGCACAAACCTCTGCATACTTCAGTTTTAGAATATCTTAAAGACACTGTACCGTAAAGTAACTTTTTTATTATTAACTAAAATAACAAATTTCCAATTGAGGATTTCACAAAAGCCAATTATTTAAAAGAGCACTGATTAAAACAAACAAAAAAAAAAAAAAACAAAAAAAAAAAAACACAAAATTGCTTTTGTTTTTGTTTTGCCTGGTTTATTTTGTGTTTTTGGCTTTAGGCCATCACAAAAGGTTTGAGGCAGCTGGTATTTAAAACAAAATTTTAATATTATAGTTTAGGTTCAAATTTAATTCAAGTAAATCCAATTGATCCCAAAACAATTCAGTTATTGAGAGCCAGTTATATATAGTCAATTTAAATCCAGTTCTAAAGGGATTTAGTCAAATGTGGGTTTAATGCCATCCCAGTTGTCAAATTGAGGTGCTGACTTTGTGGAAATCTCTCATCGCAAAGAAGCATGTGGTGACAGTGGAGAGAAGCCACTTGATTTGAACAAGAAACAACATACAGTAGAGGGCAGGTTCAGTATGAGTGGTCACCTTCTGCTACCAGTTATGAGTTGAGAAGATAGAAAAGAGAAAAAGACAAAAAGGAATGTTAAAGTCAGCAGTATTTTTGTGCATCAAATTGACTGTGATAACTCCATCAGTTGTTACTTCTGGGAAGAGACACGTAAAAACAGAAACCTCGAGTCAGCAGGTGGATTTCCCTTTGCAAACTACATTATAATTGGTTGCTCCTAAATCCGAGAATCTAATGTAAAAGTTTATATGTAAATTGCCCAGTTGTAAATATTTCAAGGACGTCATTTATATAATACTTTGAATATTTCAATGGTTTGGCCAGGTCAGCTGACGGCATCTCAGTCGCAATTAGCGGGACCTGACGGCAAAGGGGACATCAGCAGAGAGAACAGTGCTGTGGACTTTAGCAAGGTATGTACATTGGAAGTATATATAGTTTTGTTGTGGCTGCTTGTGAAAAGTGTTGGAAAAGTGGAGACAGGCTGGTATGGTTGGTACAACTGTTCCCAACATACAGCCTCACAAAAAGAAAGTTTAGTAATTGTGACAGATGATTTTGAGTCGAGTTTTTTTTGCCCTTCACTTCTCACTGCAGGTTCTAAAATTAGGGTTGAGGGTTTAGTCTCTTAGCCACAATTGTGTTTCTGACATGATGCGACTTCCAATTAAATGTAATACCTGAATAATTACTAAAACTGTAAATAACAGCAAAGTATAACATTTATCTACTGTAATTTTTTTTCTCAAGTATTTCTTCTAAGAAACAGACACCACTTATTACAACTGAAGGCAAAAAGAGAGAATTATTATACCCAAAATTTCCATGCACTTCAGCACAAAGTCCTTAAAACATGTATGGATGATGGTGTGAGTTTAGATGCATAACTGACATGATTTTAATAAAAAAAATATAAATTTGGCACAAGCTGTCATGTTAAAAACCTCAATACATATCCATTTCTTCTACAGAAATGTTCGCATTATCAAAGCTAATTTTTTAAAAAGAAATTAAAGACCAGGAATTAATAAAAGTTAACACAAAAATATACCTTGTTTTAGTCATCAAACAAAAGATATTAACCAAAAGCTGTGTACTAAACGAAGAAAAAGTTAGGACACCCTATCAGTCAGTCTATTTGCATGAAGTAACTTCAAAGGGTTTCTTTAGTCGTCCGTCACCTGATGGAATTTATGATGGAAAATCATCAGGTCCTGCTGCAACAAAAAAAAAATCGACATCCAAACAACTTATTTGGAGACTTCTTTTAGCATTTTATGGTTTTCTGTTGGTGACCGTGCTTGGACGACGAGACCAAGACACCACCATGGTTGTGTTGAATTTATCTTACTTTTAGAATATGTTCTGTACTGTGGAACGACTGAATAAAAATGATTTTGAGAGTTCATAAGCTGCAACAATATTTCTGTTCCTGTAGTCCTCAAAAACTGTTTCAGACGTACCATGGTGTTCATTCTCACTTCAACAGTTAGGAACGCATCATCACACTAAATGTCTGATGTTTAAAACAAACAAACAGAGAGCACCTTCAAAATACTGAGTGATGATATTTCTATAATATGTAACTTATGTAATACACCTGTGTGAGATTCTGGGATTAAAAAAAAAAAAAAGGTATGTCCTAATTTATCTCCCAAAAGAAGTTGCATTTTTTATATCACAGCTTACAAAATATGAATGTGTTTTCTTCAGCTTTTACTGTTTTATAAACAAGCCAAGAACGTTTTTGATTAACCCATAATTTCAATCTTCTAAGAATCTAAGAAAGATACGATGTTTGCGTTCCATTAAATATTTTTATCAGAAAGGGACAAGTTCAGACCATGAAGTTATTTGGTTCTATATTTTTACAGTGAAACAAAATGAGAAGTTAATGGCGAAATTACCCATTTTTTTAACCTGCATTTTACAGACCATCTGTCGCTAGAGAGAGAGAAAAAAAGAACCCAAATGCTGACAGCAGACAGACAGATTAAAAGCCAGAATGACCTACTCCAAAAAGCACTCAAATTCAGGAAATCCAAAAGCCAATAAAAGTCCACACCAAAAAATTTTTTGAAAAAATGAAAACACTCTGTGAATTCAGAGGAAATCAAATAACCACTGGAATAAGCAACAAAATACTGAGCAATCTTTCAATCCTAGCAATTTCCTAAAAATCCTAAATTTTTAGGAAATTAGGATGCTTGTTTTCCCAAGCTTACTAAATAATGCAACACTGTCAAACTGATGAGGAAATGTGATGTTTTACTGATAATTCAGTAAAACATCACTTTTTGTTTAATTTACCTGTTTTGATAGTTTCATTTGGTAAATCAGGTATAAACTGCTGCATTTCATTGTTTTTCCTTCACCCCTTTTACTTTTTAAGCTAATTTGCAGTTTCATAATTTTATTTGGTAGTCTGCAAAAAGGAACTGCAATAGTTTTCTGCTAAAAGAAAAGCAACACTTTTTCCTCTCATGTTGTTAAATACCGTTTGACATTTCTTGCAGATGTTTAAAGACTCATTTTGGTGAAAATTATGTTTATTCTGTTTATTATTTTTTTTATTCTCTTTAGAGGATGTTTTTTGGAACACATTATGATTAAAGCAAACACTTGTCACTTTGGGTCTTATATTTCTAGCCACTTTTGTGTTTAGTCATACTCTGTTTTGGTATCCCTGTATTTCCTTTTTCATAATTAGAAGTTATTTTTCTGTATTTTTACTTTAGTTCTCTCCATCAGTCAACTTCATCGGTAGCCTGTTTTCAATCCTTGGATCTTGGGAATGATTACATCCAGCAATCATTTCCAAGGGTAAAGGGCTGCTGTTTTTTCTTAACTCCTTGGTAGTTTTTCCTCAACTTGCTCTTCATCATTTCAGGTGTTTATTTTTCGTTGGACTCATCTTTGGCATTGCTATAATTTCTTTGCTCTTCTATTAAAAATCCACCAAACCGTTATTCAGCTCCAACAGAAGGGCAGGTCAGATTTAAAAGTCCAGTTTTCTGATTAACAGAGAGAATAATCACGCTACCATATAGGGCCATTAAACTGTCAATTTCCAAAGCACTAAATTAAAATGTGGAATTAAAAAAATGGGAGAATAATTTCAGCAGTATTTTGACCATGTTATTACACATTCTCCCTATAAAACTGGTCAGCATGTTAGGCTGCACACGCAGATTACAGATCTGATGTTTCAAAAATGTATTTAATTTCTTCATATTTAGATACTTTTAAAATGCATAGTCAATTAATGTTAAAAAGCTGATAATTGAAATCAACTTTTTTGATAATTTCTGAGAATTATTTTTAATTATATAAAATTACTAAAAGAGCGTATGGTTTCATGGGATTAAATATGTGTGCAGAAAATCATCCTGGGTTCCCTGTTGAACTTCTAGTGTTCTTTGATTAACCGATTTACTCATCGTAGGTACTTTTAGCACACTTTGAGTCTTTGTTAAAATTTTCAAAGCGAAATATGGGGGATAAACACCAAACACGATCAGACTGTTACGCAACTGTGCATTTCGAAAAATTAATAGGAGGTTATCTTTCATAGAAAACCACCGAGTGAGGGATTAGGATTATTACCATGTTAGGTATTAGAATAGTCAAATACATGCATTAATGAAAAAATAAAATAAGAATAAGATCGCAATATGTTGTGGCAGTGCATTTTATGCTTCTGTTTTACATTCACAGAAACTATTGTAAAGAAGTGATTGAGTTTTATGGTTGTATATTTATATCCCAGAAATGACTGAGAAAATAAATTCACATTCTGTCAATTTTTGAATAAATTCTACATTTCAGGACAAACTTCGTTATTATTTATATAGTCAAGTTTTAATTTATATTCAAAAAAATCTCTTTAAGAAACAGAAAATAATAAATGATTTTAAAAAAACAAAGCTCCCACTGGTAATTGTTGTTATCTAGAGATGCATCATCTGAATGAGGGAACAAATAACACTCCAGTGGGCATTTGTCGTCCTCATGAAATTATCACACAAAAATCAACACCTTTAATAAAAAAGAAAGGATTTCTGGCTGGCTTTTATTCATATCTGTGAATCTTAATTTTTTTTTTTTAGCTTACTGGCTCTTATGAGTTATTATGCAATGGATTAAGTTATAACCTATATTTGCATGCTCTTTTGTAATATTTCATTCACACATCTGTGCCCTATTTGAATGCTGGAACAAACAAATCTAGCACAGCTGGATTAAATTCAGACTGGGAAATGGGTAAACTCATACATTTATGGATTTACGGGAGGATAAACGGTAAATAAAAACCTCTTCCTGTGAATGCACTTGGTACTCTTAGGATTATAGTTAGAGCTGCATAACCGAACCATGTGGAATGTTGCACCTTTTATCCTTTTTTTTTCCAGATAGATCTTCATTTCATGAAAAAGATCCCGCCGGGGGCGGAGGCCTGTAATGTGCTGGTGGGAGAGCTCGAGTTTCTGAACAAGCCAGTCGTGGCATTTGTTCGCCTTTCCCCTGCAGTCCTGCTAAACGGGTTGGCTGAAGTCCCAATTGCCACAAGGTTTCTGAAACACTCATTCAGCTTCTGAACCATATTTGACATTACTTGTTCAATAAGCAGCCACTGTTGATCATCCATGACTTGTTTTCAATTTCAAGGTGTTCATTTTTATTTATTTTTTGCCTTTAGGTTTCTATTTATTCTGCTGGGGCCTTTGGGTAGGGGAGCTCAGTATCATGAGATTGGGAGGTCCATAGCAACTCTTATGACCGATGAGGTAAGGGGTCGCTGAAGCCTATATACATCACAATCTCATATTTTACAAAATTATACAGTTTGGTGAAATGCTAGTCAGATGTCACTCTCAGATTTTCTGCACTTTGAATAAATTCACAGCTCAGTCGAACTCAGAACAAACCCTAAAGTGGTGGAACATTTCGAAGTGTGAAGCACAGCTCAGAGCTTTCATAACTTGCTTTTGGCGATTAGTCAGGCCTCATGTGCTCCATTTTGTCCAGAATTTGTGTTGTCATCCTCCAAGACTGTGAAAGAAAAACAGATCCAGACTGAAGTTGGTTCTAAAAAAGATGCACTCGCTGAATAAAAATATGCAGAAACCTGTTATAAATAGGGGCAGTTTCACATTGTTAGGGTCAAGCAAGGTAATTTATTTGTTGTATCCATGCAGGATTCACCTAGATGGTGCACCAAATCATTTTCAAATAAGAATTATGATGAGCTTTGTTCTTACTTACATGATTAAAACCCAGTGTAACCAACAACAACAAAAACAAGTCCACCTGCATCAAATTCATTCTTAGTATGTGTTCAGAAAAGGTCTTATAGCAAATCAGAAAGGCATGTAAGGTAAAAGAAAGTTGTCAATATGTTTAAAGATGTTTACAAAAGAATTTCCCAAACATCTAGCGGATCCACTGTTCAGTCTATTATCTGAAAATGGCAGCAATACCAACCTACAAAGACAAAAACAGAAACAGAAAAGCACCAGCAGGCCCAGGGTCACTCTGGAGGAGTTGAAGAAGTCCACACCTCAAATGTAAGAATTTGGTTTATAAAACGACCTGTACTCACCCCAGAGTACAGGTCTGCACATCACCCCAGACACACCATGCTAAAACAGTAAAACATGGTGGTATCAGCATCAACGTGGAAAGCACTTTGGGTTGACGAGAAAATGATTTAGAAGAATACCGAAAGAAAACCTGAGAACCCACAAATAGACCTGGGAGTGTGCAGGGGTTCACCTTCCTTCAAGACCACAACCCTACATTCTGAACTAGAGACGATTAGCTTAAATAAAATCTCATTTATATGATCACCAAAAGAAAAGAAAATAGATTGTTTTCTTTCTGTCCAGGTTTTCCATGATGTTGCCTACAAAGCTAAAGACCGGAATGACCTTATTGCTGGGATTGATGAATTCCTTGATCAAGTGACTGTCCTGCCTCCAGGAGAATGGGATCCATCAATACGCATAGAGCCACCAAAAAATGTACCTTCTCAGGTTGGTGCAAATTTTGTTTTACACATTGAAATTAAAGACAGTTTGACATGATAATAAATCTCCTGCTATTAATCAAACAGGAAAAGAGAAAGAAAAGCAACCTTTTACCTAATGGCTTAGTGGAGGGTGAGGAGGAGGATGAAGACAGTGGCCATGGTGGTCCAGAACTGCAGCGTACCGGAAGGTATTCAGAAATACCATTGTCATGAACCGCACTTGGCATCTGCCCATCTATGTTTTTTTTAGATATTATTTTCTAAAGTCAGAGTATTTAATTTGGTATTAATAAAATACTCATCCATTCATTCGCTTTTTTGATCTTTCATTCATTTTTGTAACAATCTATTGAGAAGGAGATCGATGACACTTGGTTCACTGCGAGAGAAGGTTTTGCAGTCTCTGTAATCTAAATCAAATTTGTAGCATAATGAGTAGACACTGAAGTGAAACATTTTCCATCCATCCATCCATTGGCTGTATGAACTTATCCTTGTGAGGTCCTAGGGGAGCTGGTGTCTATCTCCAGCAGTCATTGGGTGAAAGGCGGTGTATTCCCTGAGCAGGGTGCCAGTTCACTGAAGAACAACACAGAGATACAGGACAAACAACTGCACACACTCTCACCTTAAGACCATTTAGAGACCAATTGCCCGAACAGTTATTTTTTTGGACTATGGGGTAACGAAGGAGTACCCAGACAGAACCTACACATGCACAGGGAAACCATCCAAACTCCATGCAAAAAGACCCCAGGTCTGGATTCAAATTCAGGATCTTCTTGCTGCAGGTCAACAGTGCTGCCAACTATGCCACCGTGCAGCCAAACCTTCTCAGATAAAATAAAAAATATAATTTTAGAATATTTTTGAATATTTCTGATATTTCTGCAAATTCTTTGAAATCAAGCTGAAAAACATTACAAAACAATAACATCTTTCCTCAAAAGCCAAGTCTACCGCAGCACAACTATTTCTGGAGAAACTTGAGCTGCAGTTCTGTCTGGAAGTGGTTTCCATAGCAACATCTTTTTTTTTTGTCTGATCTCTATTTACAGCTCTACATTTTCATCATAGAGCCTGTCGCACTAAGCCAAGAACTTATCGTTTGAAGGAGGGCCTGGGGAAAAAAAAACTTTAGGATTAAAAAAAAAAAATAAATGTTTGTTCATAATACTGATAAATCAGTATATATATTTTGTAATTTTTCCTTAGGTGGTTTGGTGGCCTTATTCTGGACATCAAGCGCAAGGCCCCCCACTACCTGTCAGATTACTCTGATGCTATTAGCTTGCAGTGTGTTGCCTCTTTCTTGTTCCTTTACTGTGCCTGCATGTCCCCTGTCATCACCTTTGGAGGACTGCTGGGCGAGGCAACAGAGGGAAGAATAGTAAGTTCAATTTTTTTTTTTTACAGCTTTTTATTAAAGCTCTGCCGAGAAAACAGCTTTAAAAAAATTGTTTCTCTATTTGAATTTTAGCAAGATGAGAACTGTTTCAATATGTTTACATGAGTACTGTCTGTGTTTTTTCTTTCTTTCTAATCTCTAGAGTGCAATTGAGTCACTGTTTGGCGCGTCACTCACAGGAATAGCCTATTCGCTGTGTGCTGGGCAGCCCCTCACCATTTTGGGAAGCACGGGCCCTGTGCTGGTGTTTGAAAAGATACTTTTTAAATTCTGCAAGTATGCTCTTTTAAAATGTGATTGAGTACATACCTATTTATTTATTTATTTATTTATTTATTTATTTATTTATTAATGAAATATAATAGATGGACAGTTTTGGAAAGTGAGGAGAAGCCAATCTTCTTGCCCTGTTTACTTTTCCAAAGCTTTTCCACATTTCCTGCACAAAGGTTCATGGGAGTAATAGGTGTGCTCATTTGACTCTTTTTTATATATCGCTAATAAGGGTACTGCAGTGTTTTATTTTCGCTCTGATTTAGATGTCCCTTTTCTTAAAAAAAAGTGTTTTAAAATCATTATCCTGTTTTCACAAAACAGCTCAAAAGACTAGTTGTGATTTATTTATAGTATTTTACAAGGATTTTTATTAGCTTTTCAGTCTCTTAATAAGATATTTGGCCTCTGAAATTAACCAGTTTTTTGTATGTCAGTTATCATGCTAAATCATTTTGCTTTGTTTTGCCTTCGCTGAGCTTCTAAAATATTCGCGATAATGAAATTCTCAAATTCACCACATTACAACCAATAAACAATGCCATTTATTCTCTCTCCCCAGGGACTACGGTTTGTCCTATCTGTCTCTCAGAACCTGCATTGGCCTGTGGACAGCTTTTCTCTGTATTCTGCTGGTGGCCACAGATGCCAGTTCCCTTGTTTGTTACATCACCCGTTTCACAGAGGAAGCGTTTGCCTCGCTCATCTGCATCATCTTTATTTATGAAGCCTTGGAGAAACTTTTGCACCTGGGGGAACTCTATCCCTTTAACAAGAATAACAACTTGGACAAACTCACCACATATTCGTTAGTATGCATGTTTTTTGCAATTGCCTCTTGTAGTGATAATTTAAGCAAATGTTCCTTGGAGTATTTAAGTGATCAAAAAGTTGATTTGCTGTTTCAGATGCGCTTGTGTTGAGCCTTCGGATCCTACTAATGGCACCGTAAAGTTCTGGGAAGTCAACAACATAACTGCCTCTGAAATTTACTGGGAAGCCCTGGAGGTGAAGGTATGAATAACTACCAATTCATAGATTATAAACCACTTCAGCAAACCGAAGCAAAATTTTAGGTCACGTCAGTGACTTCAGCAAGAAAAAAAAAAAAAATCAAACAAACATTTTACCCGACAAAACAACTGGGAAAAAAAAAAAGGATTTTTGGCTTGCTTAGCTTAAAGTGGCATGCTTATCCAGATGGATGAGACGAGATGAGATTAAGGACATGTGGGCTGGATTATATTGGATTATATTAGATTAAAGGGCACTAAAATCATTATAAAAGCACATTTTCGGTCTGAGAACTTTTGTTTTCATTGGCATAAAAGCTCATGAACCCTGCATATTTCTTTGATGTCACAATAACTCTGCCCTGCTTTTCCTCACTTGCAGGATTGCATTGAAAAGAGAGGGGAGTTTGTGGGGACCGCTTGTGGTCCTCAGGGACCCTATGTTCCAGATGTTCTCTTCTGGTGTGTCATTCTCTTCTTTTCTACTGTTGTCATGTCTGCCTTTCTCAAGGAGTTCAAGTTCAGCAATTACTTCCCCACAAAGGTACTGTGACTCGTTATAATCAGTGTGCAACTAAAATCATGACTCAAACGTGATGATGAATGTGTTGCACAGTGCAGCACTACACTCTTGTGGTAATCCACGGGCATTGCAGTGACTGAAAAAGAGATTAATCACTGGTGTTTTTTGTTGACTGCTTGAGATTTTCTAAGTTGCTAACAAGCATTTGGCCAATCTGCAGTTACATTTTCCAAACCTTAAATACAATTAGCACAACTTTGATTTTACATGGGAATGCCATTAACACATTTCATGTCGTTTTCACAGAATAGGAAGTCAGTGAGCACATTTCTGAAATGCGTACATTGTTTTAACACCCAAAGACAAAATGAAAATATTGTCTTATTTGCAGAGCACACTGGAATATAAAACACCAAACACAATCTTCCTAAACTTGCTCAAAAACAAGACTAAAAAGCTTTAAATTAAATTCTCGCTGATTCACAACAAAGACACTTTGCAAGACATAAACATTCAATTCGCCTCTATATATATATATGTACTCAAATCCAGTCATAGAAACAGACCTGTTTCTGTTTCTATTATTAATAACACAAATAATTTGTGTTAGTAAATGCTTGTTACCAGTTGTGAAAAAAACAAACAAACAAACAAACAAACAAACAAACAAACAAACAAACAAAAAAAACATTTTCTCCCTCTTTTTTTAGGTGCGGTCTATTATCAGTGATTTTGCTGTGTTCATCACTATTCTCACCATGGTCTTGGTTGATTATGCTCTAGGGATCCCCTCCCCCAAACTGAAGGTGCCTAATGTGTTCAAGGTAAGAAGGAAAAATAAGACTGACTATGAAGACATCATATTTATTTAAAAATGTTCAGCCAATTGTTAAATATATATATGCGTGTGTTTTCTGAAGCTTCTACTTAATTAACACAATTAACATTTTAGCGACTTGCTTTGTTATAACCACCAACTTTAATGCCCTTCATTGCTGTTTTTGTAAAAGACCAATATAACATGACTTCTATGTGTCTGCTGGAAGAAAAAAATGACACATGACGATCTGCAATTTCTTACAAATAAACATCTGAAACGTATGGCAGGCATTTGCACACAGTCCCAGTAACATAATGCTTTTACTTCGATTAAAGGTGAAAAGCTTCAGAGAATGACATCATCTTTACAAAACATCTTTCCAAAGATTCGCCAACCTCATGCACATTTTAATACATGAATATGCTTTGATCAAAACCATCATTTAATAAGTTTGGCTCTATATTCAGGGTGACGGTGGTGTTAGTTTTCCACTACACATAATGTTTTGCATGTGAGCCGAACGTCTTCTTCCACATGCCGCATGCTTCCCCCTGACCTGGCCTGTCAGTTCAGAGGACGGTCATGTCTTGGTAGGCTTGAGGAAAGACTGTTGAGTATACAAGTGCACATCACACTTTTCAGATTTTTATTTAAATAAAACATCTTAACAAATACAACGATTATCCACTTAACATTTAAATTGAGGTTGTAATAGGACAGAACATATCAGAACGCTCAAGGCACTGTGCTGATGATTCAACAGCCAACCAGAGACGATCGAGGTTGGCTCATCAGCCCGTTGGGGCCCAACCCCTGGTGGACAGCAGTAATAACTGTTATACCAGCTCTACTCTGCACAATCCTAATCTTCATGGACCAGCAGATAACTGCTGTCATCATCAACAGGAAGGAAAACAAACTCAAGGTATTCTCATCTGTACACCTTCCATCACTTTTGCACCAATCAAATAAAGACACAGCTTAGCTTTTGCTATTTGGTTTCCCTCCTCCAGAAAGGTTGTGGATACCATCTAGACTTGCTGATGGTCGGGATAATGCTGGGCGTGTGCTCCGTGATGGGACTGCCGTGGTTTGTGGCAGCCACCGTCCTCTCCATCACGCACGTTAACAGTCTGAAACTGGAGTCGGAGTGTTCAGCTCCAGGGGAGCAGCCGAAATTCCTCGGCATCCAGGAGCAACGCGTGACAGGCCTCATGATCTTCATGCTCATGGGCAGCTCTGTCTTTATGACGTCAGTGCTGAAGGTGGGACAAAATCATTTTATCAAGGAGTGATTTTTTTTTTTTTTTTTTTTTTTGTGGCTGATGTAACATTTCACTTATTTTCTAATTTAATTTTAAGCACACCTCTCTTAACTTCTCTTTTGCTTTTCTTAGTTTATTCCTATGCCGGTGTTGTATGGAGTTTTTCTTTACATGGGGGCATCTTCTCTAAGAGGCATTCAGGTACAAAAAAGGGAAGGAAAATTAGACCAAAAAAAAAATGATTGAAAGATATTGAATATGTGGAACGTGATAAAAATTTCAACAAGGACCATGACAGAAATGTACCCTTAGATTTGATCTTTTGTCAATCTCCTGCAGTTCTTTGATCGCCTCACGTTGTTTGGTATGCCAGGCAAGCATCAGCCAGACTTTGTCTACTTACGACATGTTCCCCTGAGGAAGGTGCACCTCTTCACCATAATCCAACTCAGCTGTCTCATTCTTCTGTGGGTTATCAAGACCTCCAGGGCTGCCATTGTCTTTCCTATGATGGTGGGTAAACAGTTAGTTGTGACATTTATGCTACCTGTCCACTCCAGTTTGTGTCATGTGGTTTCAAGCGTTGAGCTGTAAAGGTTAAAAGTGTCCAAACGTGAGTGTCTGTTATTTTACATTTTTCAAATGTTTTGGTCAGCAAACGAACATATATCTGACAATATTGAAGGTTTTGCAACTCCTATGATTTCACTTGCTTTCACTGATTAATAAATACATCATCTAAATTCTCCCAAATAAAACATGACACATGTTGATGTGATGCAGGCTACAGTAAATCATCTTTTTTTGACCAAACTATAAAAATGCATCTTCCTAATTCTTACTTAGTGTCAGAGTTTCTGTTGTTTCGATAAATTTCAACAACATAGTAATTCTTCTGTTTTATTCTGCCTTTTTTTTGTACCTTGTCATCTCTGCAGGTCTTGGCTCTGGTTTTCATTAGGAAGTTGATGGACTGTATCTTCACCAAGCGAGAGCTGAGCTGGCTGGATGATCTCATGCCAGAAAGCAAGAAGAAAAAGCTTGAGGATGCTGAGGAGGTGATAGATCTGTCTTTGGCTGTATTTTTTATTGTATTTTTTTTAAAAACAGATCTGTATTCAAATAATTCTACATTTTACATTTTTCTGCACTAAAATGTCTGATTGTTTACCTTTAGGAAGAAGAGCAGAGTATTCTAGCAGAAGATGAAGGTGTTGTGCAAGTGCCATTGGGGGGATATAAGTGAGTTATAGTGCCATTGTAAAAGCTCCGTGGACAGAATCATTTTCTGTATAATAAATAAACTTTGTCTTATTTTTATGTTTAGACAATTTTCTCCCTCTTGTTTTTACAGAGGAATACCCATCATCAACATCACAGATGAGATGTCAAAAGGCTCGTTTGGAAATACCTGGAATGCCAACGACTGAAGAAAATAAAGCATCTATGAAGGTTTTCAAGATTATTAGGCTGTACTTTTTTAAAGAAATTTTGGCTAAGGCAGGAAATTAGTTTTCAACGAAAGGATGAAAAGAATGTTCAGATTGATTATTTAGCTGCGAGGAAATTGCATGACTGGAGTTATGGCAAAGCATCACACTAGAATTCATCGAGCTCCTCAGATTGACCCATTCTTTCACAAAATTATAGAAGCAGCCTGCATGCCAAGGTGATGGAGTGTACACACTTGTGGCCTTGGAAGGGATTGAACACCTGAATTTAAGGACTTTTGACATAAATATGTATTTTTGCAATTACACTTATGCTTTGTTAACTTTGTTGTTGAACTTCAATATCATAAACATGAAGATATAAAACAACTTTTTCATGAGATTGCAAAAAACAAAACAAAGCAAAACAAAACAAAACAAAAAACGCCAAAAGGTGGAAAAAAATGAAGCCCGGTTTGGACTGTGCAGACGGCCTGTCCCATGATGTCTCTCCATCTTTAGCCCTTCTTAGTTTATACAATCAAATCTGTTTGCAAGACAACACGTGTGTCAAGATCGTACAAAAACAGTCTGGTTTCAAAACAAATAAAACTGTGAAACTTTTAAACAATACAAAGTTATTATTACATGTGATTTGCACAATTTTCTGTTTCTGTGACTCGTATTATGTATCTATATGTTTTTAACCAAATTACATACCATACAATCTAGAAAGCACAAGCAATAGCTCCTCACGCCTAAACAACGCTATCCTATCCATGTAATAAAGTGTTTATTCATAAAGTGTTTATTTATATATATTTTTTGTGGGTTTTAAGATGTTACTCATTGGGGTTTTTTTTCCAGCAGATTATTTTATAATGCGAGAAAAGTCTTACAGTCTTTTGCTTTCTAGTGACAGTGTACTTCTTCAATCTTTAGTGTTAAATTTCTCTTAACTGAGTCATCAAGCCATCTAACTGTCAAATGTTTTACCGTTGTCAACTTTTCAAAGAATAAAACTACGACTTGTGTAGTACATTGTTTTGAAAGTATTTATGAGGTATTGTATTGTCCGTACTACAAGTGTGCAAACCTCAATAATTCAAGATGTTTCACTTTTTGAGTGTAACCACTTAAATAAAAGTTGTTTCATTGATATTGTAGTATACTGAAATGGACTTGTACATAGTTGCTTAAATAAATCCTAATAAAGATGATAAAACGTCGTGGCTTTACGATCAAGTCAATATGGCGTGTTTCGGCAAACATTGGCGTTGGCCTCTATAATCGCATATCACCTTAGGCCGCTGTGCTAATTGTGTGGCTTTGTTGTAGAAAACGTGACGGGAACACCTAGTGTCAATGCAGCTGCTTTGCCTTCACACATCCGGCCTTAAGCAGAACAGGACTGGGCACAGGTTCGCTTTTGCAATCAACAGATGGTTTGATGTGCTGCAGATGACAGCTCGGAGAGGTGGAACATCCCCCGAGCATGTCACGCTGCTGGCTCATGTGAATTACTGTTTCCTTCTCAGTGCTATGAGGAAATCAAAAGTGTTGACCCAGGTACTGATCCCAGCCGGTCTGATGCCGAGCTGATTGACATGATTTCCCTTTATTTAGCATGGCTGTCCTTGGTGTGCAGGTCTGATTATCATGGGGGAGATCCTCCCCCGGTGAGCAGCTGACAGGTGAAACACATCATTGTATACCTTGCAGAAATCCCTCTGCGTGGTTCTCCCAGCGGACAAACATGTTTATTGATTTTTCGTCTGCCTTCATTCGCGAGGAGGATCCAGAGAACACAACAGGAAACATATTCTGCACGCTGGGATGTGAGATCTCAAAGCAATAAATTAACCCTGACATGTAAGACAATATCAGCTCAAGTGAAAATAGTTCTTAGAAGAGACTTGAAATCGATGTTAGTTTTTTTTTTTTTAAACCTAAAAAATCATTCATCCGCCTTTGCATATGACATGATAAAAAGGGAACTTAAGAATTGTACACATTTCTTTATTGAAAACTGCAAGAAAGGGTAGTTTAATGCTAGATGTGAAGTTTGGACCAACAACATAATTTAAATTCTAAAAATTCAAGTGAATAAGAAAATGATCAAATATATAATCAGCTAATTCTCCATAAAATTTCCAACCACATTTGTCATTTACATGATTTTTTTTTTTTTTTTTTAAGTATCTCCTTCAACCACTGAAGGCCACTAAGGCTTCTTGTGAAGACACATTTAATTGTGTTACCAGAAGAAAGTGTAGTACAGGTCGTGACACATGTAATTGCACAGAATCAGTGAAAAACAGCTGCTTCGTTTCGCAAGAACAGCTTGAGGAGTTTAGTCTCTTCTGCCTCGGCCGGTCTTCAACCAGGAGACAAACTCTTTGGCTGCCTGGTCCTGCAGGTAAGAGCTCACGTCGCTGGTGTAGGTGCCGTCTGCATGGCGTCTGAATAAGCTCCTGTAGAAGAAATACAATTTGGCATGTCCAGTCTGGATTTATGGGGGTTTTTTAACATTAGGAAATTTTACTTTACCAACCATATGGTTCAAATGCTTCACTGTAACATTTAAAAATGCACTCACCCGTTCCTTTTTGAATTCTTCAGCCACTGGACAAAGTCTTGGGCTCTTCTTGTTTCCAGGTATTTGCTGTAGTCATTGGAAAATGTTCCCTCTGAATGCCTCTTCATGTTTGGGAACTCACTGGGATCACTTAAAATTGAGTTTTCACTCAACAATCTAAAAGGAAAACGTGACAGAAAGAGCCGAGTCAAATGACTCACACACACTTAGATTTAAGCTACGTACAAGAAGATCATGGAAAGAGTCTGCTGGACGGATTATTCCGCTACATCACAGCGACATTTTAGGTGTGATATTATCATCAACAACAAAATAAAGTCAGGCCTAATTCATTCATACCCTCTGATATATATCTGGATGTAACAGATCTATTCAACCACAACATTTGTTTCTGCAAAAACATCTCAGTGGCTTTTCGCAAAACTTTTGTAGACTTTTGTAAAATGAGCCTCATTTCAAAAGAAGACATTATTAAAATAATTTATTTTGATTTTTCAGGAAAAAATGCTATGTCAAATTATATATATCTTTCTCGAAAATCTGTGGAAATATGGTTGCTGAACTTCTTCCAACTTTCCACGGGTATTTTTTGACAAATTGTAATTGGTGATGAGCCCCAAACTTTGTATTTGGAAGGTATCCTTGCCACCACAATAATCTTTACCTCCCTTCGTAGATTTAATATCAGATTCCAGATGGGACTCTGGGTCCAAAATGCTAATATCACATCTGGTCGGAAGAAAGATACTGGTAAAATTACTTCCAGTCTAAATCTGCCAGGGCTTACTAGTCATGTGGAGCCTAACAACATGTTCTTCCAACATATTATTATTATTATTATTATTATTATTATTATTATTATTATTATTATTATTATTCATACACACACCTGTCAAATATATCGCAAAGTTTACACTTTTGCATTTCAACTTCAAAAGTACTTTAAAAAAATAAAAAACAACAACAACTGAATTTTACGTAAATCGTGGACTAACAAACATACACACCTTTTTGTCCTTTCATTCAACTAAATAGTAATAACATTTATAATATAAATAAGTTATAGTAATGATAGAAAGTAGACAAATATGAAGATTAGACTTGTATTATTTAGATTTTTTTTCTTCTAAACACTGGCATGAATCAAACTCATAAGTGTGAACACTGAAATACGATCTTACAGCGGTGTTCGGTCTGTGTCCTGGTCAGGCACCTGCCAACTGCTTTGGATGATGACAAGGAGCATAAGTCCAGCAAGAGACTGAGCACTTTTCATTGTTTAAGCTGCCTGAAAATGAGCAAAAAATAGAGACAAATAGTATATATTACCTAAATGAGGTGTTTGAGCTTTCAGAATGGATTGTGAAAAAATTCTTACCTGTGTTCTTTTGTGCAGATTGTTTAAGAGAGGGATCTTGCTTGGCGCTGATTGTTATCGTTCTGCTCTCCTGCTCGTGGAGCTTCTTCGTGGTCTCCTCCCCGTCTGCTCGGTCTTATATAGCAGAGATGAGGAGCATTCTCTCAGGTGACTCCCTCCGTCACAAAAACCTTAGCACATCCTCAACTACTCTCAAGCCATTAGTCAGCTTCTGGCTCAGTGCCCTGAATGTAATCTTGGTTAAAAAAACAAAAAAACAAAGCATGACAGCTGGATGGTCAAAAAACATCTTTAAGTCTCTGAATCAAATAGTATCTACTCCAACATAAACATTTCTACAAATGATAATTATTAACTTTGACAGAAAACTGTTCAACCCATTTACCCAAAAGACAAGAAAATAAACTAAATAATTAAAATTTTGGAAAAAAAAAAATATATATTTAGCTAATACAGCTATTACCAAAACAAATGTAACCTATAATCTTAAGTCTAAATACCGCTGATCTTTGCTTTGAGATTTCTTAATTTGAGATCCTGAACATCTGTAGCCACACTCAGACCTACAGACAATTTATCCAGTGCAACTTTCAATAACCGCTAGGAACTGCAAATGACCAGCCGTTTATATCTTAAAACAATGTTTATTGTATATCTTCATCAATGCAATATTACAAGTGTAAAGACACCACTCCACAGTGCAGTGTGACATATTGACCGTAAGTTATCACATTCACATAAAAAAGACAAAACTTCAAAATGCATGCAATGGCCTTTTCTAAAAAGTCACATATCTTAATAATAACAAAAAGGCTCAAATTTGTGAGCAATGAAACATGTGAAATTTACCTGACTGTTCGACATATTATTAAAAGTAAAACAAGGAAATAGTTTAAAATGTTCCTTTATAAATGCTGAAGACTCTTTTTTTCACATCTATTCAGGATTGAGGAGGCATTTCTGCAGAAAGTGACTCATGAGGATGTATGTATGATGAAGGGCTTGTCCCCTTAGAGAGTGATCCTTGTCAGTGTACCACTGAAATTAGAAACAAAACAAAATTACTCCAGAGATAACAAAATTAAAGATATGATCAAAGCTATCTTATATTTTCATGCAATAACTAATGGTGGTCTTTTTCCATTTGAAGCTCTCTTTAAACAAAAGCACATTTAAAACCAATATTAGTCTAGTTCCCTCAGCCAATATTTACCATTGCCTCAAAATCCACAAGTTCTTCCACCAGAGCTTTGGAGATCTGCGCAGCCTGCTGGAAATGGACATTGTCTAAAGGAAAAACAGCAAATCACAAAGTGACTGAATGTCAGAGCTGAAATCTTATTTGAAGCAAATAGAAACCATTTGTGCGTGACTTTATTCTGTTACTAAGCAATGGGGCGAAAAAAAAAACAAAACAAATGTTAGCACATGTTCAAAAACAGCGATTAGTAAAGAGAAATCACAGAGCGTACCATCTGCTGTGCCGTGAATAAGGAGGTAGGAAACCTTTTTAAAGTTCTTTGCTCTCGATATGACTGTGGAGTTCTATGAAACAGAAAAGAGAAAATCCAGAGAGAATAATGCAACTTGAGTCTCAAATCAGAACAGTGAATTCTAATGGGCAAGTGTGATTTCAGAGCCGTATCTAGAAATTTTGAAAACATAAAACATACTGTAGATAAATCAATTTGAAAAGAAATTTGGAAAGAAAGAAAACAGATCAGGCTTTCAGGTAATATTAATAAAAAAAAGATACTACTACTATTAATATTATTTGGACTAGAATGTCTGTTACTTACTTTGTAAGAGTCTGAATTCTCTGATGGTTTGCCCATGTAGCGCTCGGTGTAAACTGCATCTGCAAAAAAAAACAACAAAAATAAAAACTGAAAAAAGTGCTCAGACCTTTACATAAATATTAATTACAGTGTTCAAACAACTTATTCTTGAATTCTTTAGCACCATCAGCTACTCGTGTTTATTTTAACCCTTGTGCGTGCGAGGACTGTGGCAAATGATACAAGTGATACCGGTGTGGGGTTGGTTGGACCCCATTTGTAAACACAGGGGTTAAAAATATAAAATAGTAAAGTTTACTCTGACTTTATGGCAGACTTTTATGCTGTAGGAAGGGAGGAGAGAGATGTGAAGGAAGAAAGGTAGTAAAGAAGATACAATATAGGAAAGAGGAGATGTGAGAAAAAAAAAACTTTGAGGATGAAACTGATGCTTCTCCAGTTTGAACAGATGCTAAACAAGGAAAGCGTATCACTTACCATAATAGTCCCACTTGGCTACTGGGGCCACGGCAATCCCACACTTGAAGAGTCCAGTGCCAGCACCCAAAGCCATTGAGGCGACATAGCCACCATATGACTGAAGATGAAGATTTAAACTCATAAATAAAAAAAAATAATATATTGATTTATAAGACAAAGAAAATCAGTCGTCAAAATACAGGCAACCTACCCAGCCCCATATTGCAATTCTGTCCTTGTCAATAAAACCCATGTTGATGAATTTCCTGTAAGATAGAAATCACGTTATAGCTGAGAAAAAAAACAAACAATTCTTGTGAAGTTCATTTTCTTCACCTCACTGCGGACATTTGATCTTCCACTTCAAAGGTCCCGAGTTGCCTGTAGATCGCGTGCATTATTTCATCACCCTGATAACCGCTTCCCCTTCCGTCAACACTGGCGACGATGATTCCGAGCGAACTGGAGAGGTACGTTCCCCAGTTCAGCTTGTTCTGATAGCTTACACTCTGACTACAGGGGCCAGCGTACCTGCAAGGAACAGAGTCACCATGAGGAATTCCAAGAGGGGAAGTTGTGGCACAGTGAGATGTTGTTTACTTACACATCAATAAGGAGAGGATATTTTTTGGACTTCTGGAAATCTGGTGGCAACATCATTTGATACCACATATCTGTTTATTCAAAAAAAGGTTTGGAAAACAGGGAGGGACTGATGTTAGCGAGGAAGGAAACTTGATAAATAGTTGTATATTTATTTTGGATCTTTTTAAAATATGATAAGGTAATTATGCAAAAATAGTTAATTACATATCCAGTTTGAAACGATGTTTTAAACCAGAAAGAAAACTTACATGGAGAGTTTTAAATGAGAGTTTTGAACATGCATGCCTCACCAAATCCTGCAATCTTTACGGTGCCATATTTCATTGTTGGCATTTGAAATTCAGTCAGAAGATTTTCCAGCTCCTTATTGTCTTCCAAAATTGATAGCTCTGAAATAAAAATAAACACATAAACCTAAATATATAATGACTGCTCAAAAATTTTGTGTGATTTTGTTGTCAGCACATTCAATGAGAATATTTCATTCATTCAGATCTAGGATGTGTTATTTGAGTGTTCCCTTTATTTTTTTGAGCAGTGTATATATATAATAAGTTGAAAATTGTTTCTGTGCACTCAAAGTTAACAAACAAGTCAAACAGTCTCTATTTTTTTTATTATTTTTTCACAGAAACTAAAAAAATACAAGAGTAAAAAAAATAAAATAAAATAAATCAGCAAACCATAAAAAGAAATACCTGTTCCTGCACCTGAGCCCCTGTTGTCCATAAGTGTGTAAAGGGGCAATCCAGGTCCTAGTCCAAACAAGACAGACATAAATTCGTAAAGACATTTCACACCAATATTAGCCATCTTTGTGACGTCTAAACTTTGATTATTGTTCACAGATGTTTCCTGCATGGCTGAGTTATTGCTTGCGAACACATATAAAGCTAACTGACCATAGCAGTCCATTCGGTAGAAGGAGGCGTCATAGCTTAAGTAAGCTGAGTTGTACTGACACCTGTCTTCATGCAAGCCACAGGTGAGGCACATGGGGGTTGACGGACTGCTTCCAAGCATAATCCTGATTTGAAAAAAAAAAGAAGAAAATCTCATTTAAGTTATGTAAATAATATTTTACAAGAGTCTAATTAGCTCGTCCAATAGTCTGTTTTTTTTTTCTCAGTTTAACAAATAGAATCTTCCATACTAGCAAAGATCTGTAAAAATGATTGAAATTAATTATTATCTATTTAAGTTGGTCTAGCAAAAAGCAAATGATAAATATTGTGGTATAAAAAATTCATCCCCACTGTGCAGAACTTTGTACACCCTTTGAACTTTCTCACATTTTGTGACATTATAACTACAAACTTCATTGTATTTTGATTTTGTATAGGATTCAGAATGATCTGAAGAGATCGTAAGATGACATAGCAATAATACATTTCACCAGAAGGTTTATAAATAACTTTTGGGTACATAATTTCATGTAAAAATGATGCAACTTTTCTGCCTCCCCAAGATTACCCCAATATTGTTCTTCAGTGACAAGATATTCACAAAACTGCTTACTTGTAAAGATTTCTCTTGACAGGGTTCCTTTCATGCTGATTACTTACAAAATATCTGTAGGAAACAATTTAACATCAATCTTTTTTTTTTTGACATTTTCACTGATGGATGTATGATTTTGCATTGAAGGTGTAGTAATTTCACTCACATGGCATTCTTGGTTAATTTTGATATGTAAATAACTTCCCATTTCCCAGACGTAATTGGCGTGGCTTTGCCCTTATTCAAAATAAAAATAAAACAACACGATTAAAGAAAGGCAGGAAGGAATTGATTTAGCTGTAAATTGCTATAAAAAATAACACTTACATTTTTTATGTAATGAATATGTTTGTAGCCTTGAGTGTCACTCATTACTTTGTAGAAACTGAGTTTGTCCTTAGCAAAGAAAATAGGCAGTGGCATATACTGAGGGGAAAAAAAACATCTTTGAATAATCAGACATTAAATGGCTGAAATAAAAAATGTAATTTGCTTTTTGGAAACTCACATGGCCAATCCAACCTGTCTTGCTTGTTTGCTCAAATTTCTGAAAAGAGTAAATGTTTTAATTCAGCATCAGTATAAATCTTGGAATCATCTCATTGAAAACTAGTGAGGATTTTCTGATAGGACAGGTAGCTTGAGTCGTGACATCCACCTCTTTCTCTCTCCAGCTGCTCCCATCAAAGTCGTAGATAGCTACTTCCACGTGATTCTGTTTCCTTGTGAGCCATTGCACAGCGACGCGTTCATCTGTTGCCCAGGTCACTGAGCACAAAATGTGATCACTGAGTAAAAAGCAAGAGAAAATGACAAGGTTTTCAAATGGGTCAAACTGTGAACGCACCGCATTAACCTCCGCTTTAAAATCAGTATTACGTGTTAATGTAAGACTACAAACAAACCTTCCCGCCACGGAAGCAGGAGGAGCGAGCTGGGAATGGAGGGTGGGATTTGCGGTGTCAACGACAAACAGCTTCACCTTGGTAAGGTTTGATCCAGCCTATGGTAAAA